ATTAATTTCATATGCAAATTCACCAAAATATTATCTAAACTTATTTATCTCTTTGTTAAACTAGCAACATATTGATGATTTGCATCATCACGTTTCACCAACTTAAGCTCAAATTGTTTCACTTAGCCTGCAGGGATTTACGAAGGGAAAGCACTGCTTTAAAAGTTCCTCTGCACAAATGCACAGCTGGGTCATAAAGGGAACGCAGCTCTATGAATCTATGAATCAGACCATTTTCTGTGTCATCAAGTACCATCACTTTACCTCTCTCAGTCGGACTGCAGCAGCTGTCAAAAGGTGGACCTCAAACCTCTCACAGCTTCTTCCAAGAACAGCCTTCAAGCAAAGTAAATTCTAGGTGCCCCATCACACACAACAAGCAGCGACAGAGATGCCATGGAAATAATCCTTCCCTTCGTTGTGTAGCGTGGACAAGAAGGGAAGGAGCCTGCACATGTTTGACAGTCTGGCTGAATGACAAGAACTCTGTGCTAAATATGTTATGTGGTGAAATTCAACCTGTACTCTGACACATCTGACAGCTGCAGCTGGAATACCCAACGTCTCCTGAAAGCATTCAAAACAAATTGCTGCTCACGAAGGTTACAAGCTGGTATGAGCAGAATGGCAAGCTGAGGTGTCACTGGGAATTTGGATCCAACAATAACAGCAACTAGAGAAACTGCAATTCCTGCGAAAATGCAGTGTGAAAGCTTATTGCAGAACCTGCTGAAAAACAGCTGAAATTAGCTATGTTGAAATGTAGCTGAAATAGCAGAACAAGACCAAGTTAGCAGAAGAAAGCAGCAAGAACACATATTTGCTGAATTTGATTTAGATAAGCAGAAATGAGAACAAAAAATGGTAAATTAGCTGAAAAAACTGAGATTAGAAAAAAGAAACAGCTGAAAAGTAGCTGAAAAGTAGCTAAAAAGTACGAAAGAAGCTTAAATTACCAGAGGTGGAGAGAGCACAATTTTATTGAATAAGGCTGACAAGTTTTAATGAGTGCAAAAATGTGAAATCAGCTAAAAAAAGCCTAAAAACAGCTAAATAGCAGCATAGCTGAAACTTTCACAAATAAGCTAAAAGGACAGTAACAAGCTGAAATTAGCAGGAAGAAGTTAAAAGAAGCGCAAAAATGAAATTATCAGAATAAAACGTATTAAGCTTAATAAAGCTTAAGTATTCACACAATAGCTCAATAACTTACTATAAGATCTTGGTCTGTGTGTTTGACATGCTTCCCAGAGAAACACAGACTACCTGAACAATTTAAAGATTATCAGCCAGAAAACACGCTCTAGTTCTGGAAATGCATCTAATCACTTATTCAAAATAGAAACGGTTGATTATTTCATAATTTTTGTGAATCAAATCTGATTATTTTTCATGAAACAATTCAGATTTTCTAAATAAATTTAACCGGTGATGTTCATGTGACACGACTAAAGACTAATAATGAAGAATTAACCAGTAACAAGTAAATTGTTCATATTTAGAAAGAAAAATGCTCAATTGTGTGATAAATTTTGAATTAATTCCAATTTCTGTCACATAATACATATACACTAATACATATATACTGTTTCTTTTTATACTTTTTTGCTATTTTTGGGTGTAACTGGGATCTTGGGTACACAATTTCATTCCACCTCATGTACCACATGTGATGCGAATGACAAAGAACCTTGATAAGATGCTTTACTGTTAAAAACAATACAAGAGAGAAGCATCTTTGCTGGTCCATAAAACAACAAAAATGATCCTAAAACACAAGCTTGAGCCAGTTTGACCCCAGGAGATGACCACATGCTCAGATGTTTACAATCTGCTGCTGTCGAATGTGCAGAAACATGACACGAGTCGCTCCCCCCACCGACCTGCCGCCCCACCCCCAGCCCTACTTTCATCTCCTGCCTGGAACCCACTCAGAGCAGAACTCCTGTGTCACATCTGCTACATCAAAACGCCACCTTAACCCGGTGCATTATTAACTAACAATCTTCTGAGATGTAAAGTCACAGGAGGGTTAGCTGCTTTTGATTTGGCAGGAAAACAACCACATATTTAAATGTTTTCCACGTGAGTGTGCATTAGTAGAACTAAGGTATTGATCAGCTGATAGGCTGAGTGATTCATCATCGTAAGGTTAAAGAGCTCATTTTTAAATACAAGAAACAGGATTTTATATCTAGTTTTCAACTATGGGACAATTTAGTTTCAAGAAACAACATGAGATGAATCGGGCTATAAAACAGGGATGGGTAACTACCCCCCCCAAAAAAAAAAAAAAAAATATTGTAGCTCAATCATCCAGGTAAATAACAAAAAAAAAATTAATTATGTCATATGGATCAGTTTCTTTAAGTGAGACTTAAAAGAAATGTTTCTCACTTAAAAAAACTGGTCCAGGTGATATGATTTAATCTTTTTGTTGTTATGTACCTGGATGATTGAGTTTACAACCCTTTTCTCTGAACCGCTTTGGCCTTTGTTGTCCTCAGGCTGTTTCTGTGAGTAGCAAGTTGGTCATCATGATCAGGCCTATCCATCCATCCATTATCTTTACCCGTTTATTCCATTTTGGGTCACAGGGGTTGCCGGTGCCCATGTCCAGCAATCACTGTGCGAGGGGCGGGGTACACCCTGGACGGGTCACAAGTCCATCACAGGGACACATAGAGACAAACCCATTCACTTTCTCACTCACACCTAGGGACAATTTTAGAGTTACCAATCAGCCTAACATGCATGTTTTTGGTCTGTGGGAGGAAACCAGAGCACCCGGAGAAAACCCACGCATGCACAGAGAGAACATGCAAACTTCACCCAGAAAGGCCCCTGGACCGGGGTTTGAACCAAGGACCTGCTCGCTGAGAGGCAGCAGCTCTACCAGTTGCGCCACCGTGCTGCCCATGATCAGGCCTAAAACATTTGAATGTTGTATGATGATTTATTGTTTTGGATGGGTGTGTTTAAAAGTCTGCTTTTGAGATTTCAACAGGTTGGCTTGAAACAAAGCAGTGAAGACTACCTATGGGACCGATCTGGTTGTAGACTGAGGAAGTCCTCTGGATGGGGGACGAAACATTTCTCACTTGCTGCAAAGGATCGGGCTGACAGGCTAAGCTCAGCTCTGCTAATATGACTGTCATTAGTTACTTGGAGTCTGAGCCAGGCTAAGATGTTAACGTTGTAAATTTACTGTAAATGACAAACATTCACAAAACATTTGTAAAAAAAAAATATGCATGATTTGTAGTATTTCAAGCACCATCCTCACACTAATAACAAAAAATAGCTACTTTTTGTATTTATTTTTCTCCATGGAAATAAATCTAATTTGTGTTGAGTTGGAACATCTGTCCTGAAGTCATGTTTTCTCCCAGAGGTAAAGTGAAAGACAGCTGTCAGGTGATTGTCACAGGCTCTGCCTCCTCATGCATGGAAGTACTCATCTCCTCGTTACTTTTCGTTCCTCAAAACCCATGAATGCAGCAGAATTCTCCATCAGAGACCAGCTCTCTGTTTTGGTTTTATCAGCTATTAAAAAAACTAGCTTTTTAGCTTGTGACAGCTAATATGTTTATTGTTTATTGCTACTGCACTATGTGGCTGTATCATGTAAGATACTAGGCTGTATCATGTAAGATACTAGGCTGTATCATGTA